GACTGGTTTGGACTGGTTTGGACTGGCTTAGACTGGTTTGGGCTGGTTTGGAGTGGGTTAGACTGGGTTGGACTGGTTTGGACTGGTCTAGACTGGGTTGGACTGGTTTGGATTGGTTTGGACCAGTTTGAAATGGGTTAGACTGGGTTGGAATGGGTTAGACTGGTTTGGACTGGTCTGGACTGGTTTGGACCGGTTTGGAGTGGGTTAGACTGGTTTGGAGTGGGTTAGACTGGGTTGGACTGGTTTGGAGTGGGTTAGACTGGTTTGGAATGGGTTAGACTGGGTTAGACTGGTTTGGACTGGGTTATACTGGTTTGGACTGGTTTGGACTGGTTTGGAGTGGGTTAGACTGGTTTGGAATGGGTTAGACTGGGTTAGACTGGTTTGGACTGGGTTATACTGGTTTGGACTGGATTATACTGGGTTAGACTGGTTTGGACCAGTTTGGACTGGGTTATACCGGGTTAAACTGGTTTGGATTGGTTTATACTGGTCCAAACCATTTCAAACTGGTTTATACCGGTTTGGAGTCACTGGCACTGGTTTATACTGGTCCAAACTGGTTTGCAGCCATTGAGGCTGGGTTATACTGGTTTATACTGGTCCAAACCCCTCCAAACCGGTCCAAACCGGTCCATACTGGTCTATACTGGTCCCTGCCCAGGTGTGCCACGCCCTCCCCACCAGCCCCTAGGGGGTGCTCTGCGCACGCCCACACCTCTCCTCGCCTTTCCAAACCGGTTCAAACCGGTCCAAACCCCTCCAAACTGGTCCATACTGGTCTATACTGGTCCCTGCCCAGGTGTGCCACGCCCTCCCCACCAGCCCCTAGGGGGTGCTCTGCGCACGCCCACACCTCTCCTCGCCTTTCCAAACCGGTTCAAACCGGTCCAAACCCACTGGTCCCTGCCCAGGTGTGTCCTGCCCTCCCCACCAGCCACTAGGGGGCGCTCTGCGCACGCCCACACCTCTCCCCGCCTCTCCAAACCAGTTCAAACCGGTCCGAACCGGTTTAAACTGGTCTGAACTGGTCCAAAGCAGTTCAAACTGGTCTATACTGGTCCATACTGGTCCCGGCCCAGGTGTGCCACGCCCTCCCCACCAGCCACTAGGGGGCGCTCTGCGCACGCCCACACCTCTCCCCGCCTCTCCAAACCGGTTCAAGGGTTAGACTGGTTTGGACTGGGTTATACTGGTTTGGACTGGTTTGGACTGGATTATACTGGGTTAGACTGGTTTGGACCAGTTTGGACTGGGTTATACCGGGTTAAACTGGTTTGGATTGGTTTATACTGGTCCAAACCATTTCAAACTGGTTTATACCGGTTTGGAGTCACTGGCACTGGTTTATACTGGTCCAAACTGGTTTGCAGCCATTGAGGCTGGGTTATACTGGTTTATACTGGTCCAAACCCCTCCAAACCGGTCCAAACCGGTCCATACTGGTCTATACTGGTCCCTGCCCAGGTGTGCCACGCCCTCCCCACCAGCCCCTAGGGGGCGCTCTGCGCACGCCCACACCTCTCCCGGCCTCTCCAAACCGGTTCAAACTGGTCCAAACCAGTTTAAACTGGTTCAAACTGGTCTATACTGGTTCAAACTGGTTTATACTGGTCTATACTGGTCCCGGCCCAGATGGCCACGCCCTCCCCACCAGCCCCTAGGGGGCGCTCTGCGCACGCCCACACCTCTCCCCGCCTCTCTAAACCGGTTTGAACCAGTCCAAACCCCTCCAAACTGGTCCAAACTGGTTTATACTGGTCCAAACCGTTTCAAACTGGTTTAAACTGGTCCAAACTGGTCTATACTGGTCCCTGCCCAGGTGTGTCCTGCCCTCCCCACCACCCACTAGGGGGCGCTCTGCGCACGCCCACACCTCTCCCCGCCTCTCCAAACCAGTTCAAACCGGTCCGAACCGGTTTAAACTGGTCTGAACTGGTCCAAAGCAGTTCAAACTGGTCTATACTGGTGTCCAAACTGGTCTATACTGGTACCTGCCCAGGTGTGCCACGCCCTCCCCACCAGCCACTAGGGGGCGCTCTGCGCACGCCCACACCTCTCCTCGCCTTTCCAAACTGGTTTAAACTGGTCCAAACCGGTTTAAACCGGTCCGTACTGGTCCAAACTGGTTTAAACTGGTCCATACTGGTTTGTACCGGTACCTGCTGGGCCAGCTCGCGGGTGGGGGCCAGCACGAGCGCCTGCGTGGCCTTGAGCTCCAGCTCCACCTGCTGCAGGATGGAGATGGCGAAGGTGGCGGTTTTACCCGTGCCCGACTGCGCCTGCGCGATGACGTCATAGCCTGCGGGGACAGGTGAGACACAGGTGAGACACAGGTATGTACAGGTGTGTGTGTGTCACAGGTTTTACCCGTGCCCGACTGCGCCTGCGCGATGACGTCATAGCCTGCGGGGACAGGTGAGACACAGGTGAGTTACAGGTGAGTTACAGATGTGAACAGGTGTGTACAGGTGAGCACAGGTGTGTACAGGTGTGAACAGGTGTGTACAGGTGTGAACAGGTGTGTACAGGTAAGTTACAGGCGTGTACAGGTGAGCACAGGTGTGTGTGTGTGTGTGTGTCACAGGTTTTACCTGTGCTGGATTGGACCTGAGCAATGACGTCATAGCCTGCGGGGACAGGTGAGACACAGGTGAGTTACAGGTGTGTCAGGTTTTACCTGAAACAGGTCTGAGCGATGACGTCATAGCCCAGGCAAGTTACAGGTGAGCACAGGTGAGTTACAGGTGAGCACAGGTAAGTCAGAGGTGAGCACAGGTGAGCACAGGTGTGTACAGGTGTGTACAGATGTGTACAGGTGTGTACAGGTGAGCACTGGTGTGATTGCAGACAGGTGAGCACAGGTAAGTTACAGGTGTGCACAGGTGAGTCACAGGTGTGTACAGATGTGAACAGGTGAGTCACAGGTGTGTACAGGTGAGCACTGGTGTGATTGCAGACAGGTGAGCACAGGTGAGTTACAGGTGAGTCACAGGCATGCACAGGTGAGTTACAGGTGTGTACAGGTGTGTACAGATGTGTACAGATGTGTACAGATGTGTACAGGTGAGTTACAGGTGTGCACAGGTGTGTACAGGTGAGCACAGGTGAGCACAGGTGAGCGAATGCACACACAGGTGAGCCCTGAGCTGAACTGGGATGGACTGGGAGCACTGTTCCATACTGGTCTATACTAGTTTATACTGGTCTGTACTGGTCTGTACTGGTCTGTACCGGTTTATTCTGGTTCTAACTGGTCCATACTGGTTTATACTGGTTTTACCTTTGATGCAGGGCAGGATGGCTCTCTGCTGGATGGCCGAGGCTTTCTCGAAGCCGTAGGCTGAACTGGG